TGATTAATTAAAATTGATAAAAGCTTGCTAAGGATTTTTTGTGTTTATTTTCCTTAATACTGTTGGTTTGTAGTTTTCTCTTTAGAGATTGTCATATGTGGGTGTAAAATCAGGATAATAGTTTTGGAAAATGAAAGGAAGTTGTTCCCTACTTTTTATTTCATCAAATCAGTTTTATAAAATCGGTGTTAAGTCTGTTAAATCTATCAGTATTGTTTAGTATTGTCCCTGAAAACCATTTGTGTCTGAACAATTTCTTTTGAGGAAACTGCTAAATTATAAATTCAACTTCCTAAATAGCTTTAAGTTAATTGAGATGATTTATTGATATTTGGAAGAGTTGGGATATATACATTCATGTATGTATGTATGTATGTATCTGTGTGTGTGTGTGTTTTATTTTGCTGGAGAAGTGGCTAAGCAGTTAAGAATACTTCCTGCTCAATTATGAAAAATGATCCCATCACCTCAATAATTGTATTCATGTGGTGTGTAATTTTCCCTGATTATCTTTTGGTATCTAGAATAGATTCCCTTGTTCCATTTCTGATAGTATGTCTTTCCAGACTTGCAAGAGCTGTGTCAACTTTATGAGTACCGTAAAAGAACCCACATATTATTTCACTGACTTCATTTTTCTGTTTTTAAATTCATTTGTTTATGCTAATTTTCCTTCCTATATCTTCTTAGGTTATTATTATGGGTTCTGAGGTCAAAGTGTGGATTATGGATTTGAGATATTTTCAATGTACACAGATATTGTTATTATTTCCCTCTGAACATTATTATAGAGGCATCCCACAAATTTTTATATGTTACAATTTCAATTTTTCTTTCTTTCTATTAGGTTTCTTTTTGTTTGTCTTAGTTAAGACTTCCTCTGTAACTATGGATTACTCAAACATGTGTTCGACTTTCTTTTTTATTACTATATTATTTCATTCCAACTACAGTTTCTGTTTCCCCTCTCTCCTGTTCTCCAGTTCCCTCCCCCATTGCAGGCCTCCTATGGGAGTCAACAAAGTATGTCATGTCAAGTTGAGGCTGGACATAACTCCTCCCCTGCATCCCAAGAATGCAAGGAAGGCATCCCACCATAGGGAATTTGTTTCCAAAGCCAGCTCAAGTGCCAGAGATAAGTCTTGATCACGCTAAGAGTCCCACAAATGACCAAGCAAACAACTGTCACACCCGTGCATAGGGACTAGGTCAGTTCCATGCAGGCTTCCTAGCTGTAGATTGTGTGAGCTCCCAAGAGCTCAGGTCAGCTGTCTCTGCAGGTTCCCCAGTCACGGCACTAACCTCACTGACTGGTACAATCCCTCCTCCCCCCTTCGACAGGACTCTCAAGCTAGGCCCAGTGCCTGTATTTTCAAAATATTTGGAAATAGCTTAGTACTTTCATGTCAATTGATGTCAAGTTTGAGAGCATTTTAACAAAACAAAAACAAATAAAACACTGGACAGTGGTTCTGCATGCCTTTAATCCCAGCATTCAGGAGGCAGAGGCAGGCAGATCTCTTTGAGTTCAAGGTCAGTCTGGTCTACAGAGTTAATTCTAGGACAGCTAGGGCTGTTGCACAGAGAAACCTTGTCTTGAAAAACAACGAAAAGCAACAACAAAAACAAAAACTTTGTGAAATCTAGATCTAATGATACACTCTTGAAACCCCAATAGTCAAAAAATAGAGGCAGAAAGATTATGAAGTTGAAGACAGCTTAAGTGCATAGGAAGATTGTCTGAAAATGAATAAATATTTAGACAAACAAATGTATCACCTTTTTGTGATTTCAGCTATTAATGGTTTTGAAATTTATTTTATAGACTTGGGTGTTTATTTCAACAGCTTTTCAGGTTAGTGAGAAACCAATGGTTTTTCATCATGGATTCTTGAGGGTGTGTGTGTGTATGTGTGTGTGTGTGTGTGTGTGTATGTGTGTGTGTGTAATTACACTTTGTTTTCATTTGTTTGCCTCCCCCAGTACCCTCTCTCTTAACTCTTTTTTAGACTTGTTTTATACTATTCCTAGGATGTTGGAGAACATTATTTTACCTTGGTAGCATTTAGGCTTCAGGTTCAAATTTGTAAGTACGGGTTTGAATCTGACAACAGTTCCTTAGGTCTGACTCTAGACAATGACAATGTCCCAACAATTACGGTCCTTGTGTGCCACCATTCTTCTGAACACATGACTAAGGGGACCTAACAAAAACAAAGGTGAAGGACCTCAACAGCGTGCGAGTCCTTAATTTCTGGGTCTCCAATTTTCTTGCTGCCTTCTCTTCTTCCATCACAGTCTCCTATCTCTTCAGCTGTCATAGTCTCTTGCTACTTCTCTAGAGATATTAGTATTTGAAAATCCATGTTTATTTTGTGTTCCTAAATGCAGATTTCTCCCTTTTTCTTTGTTTTCTTTCTTGTGGAATTGGAAGGCCATCATACAACTTCTCCATTGGTTTCTTTATGCAAGTTAAACATAAAAAGTACTAGAAACCAATTAATGAGGACTGAAACATTTCAATCTCTAATTTATATTTAATGTGCGTGCTACTTACATTCTACATTTTTTCCTGCTTGTTTCATGAAGAATCTCTACAATACATTTCCTTTGGATACTAGCTTTACTCTGTTTTGTGTGAGCATTTCTCATTTCAAAGTGAATACTGAGTGACACCCCATGGGAGTCTTATCCATTTGGCTTATTGTCATTCCCCTGAGCCTATCTCAAGGCCTCCCAAACACTAGCGTGTAATTGCTGCAAAACTGAACAGTCACAAGGAATTTAAATTTTCCACTTTATATGTTACCTACTTTGTGCAGTGTTACAGCACCGGGGTTATAGATTTGCCATGTACAGTTCTCCCCTCAACACTCTTTAGGTGTGTGGTTAGGAGTCTGACAAAATTTGCCCAGAATTTTCAATCTAGGAAAACAGTAATTGCAAAAATTCAGCACATGTTTAGGGTCATGTCTACTGTGTAGAACTGCATGCAATTTTCAATTACAGACAGGCAGAATTCCATGACATTTCCCATATGTGCATGTGATCCTCACCCCTGTGCTTCCTAAAGTGACCTCATGAATAAGGAAATTTCCTTTGAAGCCACTGACAGGAGGTTTCCTAGTTCTCTGACTTTCACTAATAATGTTTAGGCAAGTCATGATTTGAACTGTTAAATATTATTTATTGTGTGTGTGTGTGTGTGTGTGTTCCTGGAGAGGTTACAGATCTATTTTTTGGATTAGGTACATAATTATAGATGTATTGAGAACATAATTTACTTTAGACATAATCACTAGAATATTTACAATGGAGTATGAAAATATAGATCTTTTAAATTGTGCTCTGTATCTTTGCCTTAAATACTAGCAATGCCTACTCTCCTATCTGGTATTAGATTCTACTTAAGGAAACACAGATTGAATTCACTCCACTTTTGTTAGAAAATATGGAAATGTTTGTACAAGAGAACTCTCATTGCATGCTAGAATGGAAAATCACCAGGGAGGGGGAAGCAGTTGGTTTTATTGCCTAAGAGCTGTTGATGCACTCCCTGCACCTTTCAAAGACATCTTTCATGCCAGGCAGGCAAACCGTAGCCAGTGAGAGAACAGAAAGAGCTTCTCACATGTGCCACTCTCAGCAAACTTGCAGAGCAGCTGTGCTAGGTAGTGATGGGGATTATCACTAGACCCAATTGCAGGCTTTTGCCTGCTGGAAGAGACAAGCCAGCCTCCCAGGGGACCACTTTGTTAGAGATGGAGCAATAATGCATCTCTGTTGCTAGTGGCCATGTAGTACAAAATTGGTGCTAGATAAAATCAGAAAGCAATAAAAATGCAAAAAAAAAGAAAGAAAAAGAAAACTCTAAGGTTCTGTTTCATTTTGAAGTCTTAAAGTGAGATAGTAAAACAAATGTCCTGGGCTTGTATTCATGATAAAGAAAACATTAGAGAATGCCTTAAATGAAGAAAACTCACAGGGCATTCTCATTTGAGAACCGTTTCGGTGTGTTGAGAAATAAAGTTGCAAAGTAGGCATGTTCAGACCTTTATTTGCTACTTTTGGTAGGAATCTCTCTCTCTCTCTCTCTCTCTCTCTCTCTCTCTCTCTCTCTCTCTCTCTCTCTCTCTCTCTCTCTCTCTCTCTCTCTCTCTCTCTCTCTCTCCTCCCTCCCTCCCTCCCTCCCTCCCTCCCTCCCTCCCTCTCTCCCTCCCTCTATCCCTCTCTCCCTCTCCTCCCTTCTCCCCTGACTACAAGGCAGAGCTTTCTGTGCAAATGAAACAGGCGTTGCAAGAATTAGATTCACTTTGGACGACTCTTCACATTCCAAGTCATCACTGTGTTAGGCAGCACAATTCCATCTCTGGTTGATGGGCAGGAAAAGTGGGCAGCTTGCCAGGTAGACGTTTCCATGACTCCCAGCCCCCAAAGGTGATGCGTTTTTCAGCTAATTCAATGAAGAGTGGGCTGAACTTTGGGTCTAAACGAGACAATAGCTCCCTTCGCAGTATCAGCAGAATGGTTGATGGGAATACACTCACTCTACATTTGGCAGAGAATCATGTGACCTGACGACTGAGATTTTGTGATGGTGCCAACGGAGACTTGGAAGCAGCAGCGAGCCTGACTTTTTTCTTCTTTTCTAGCAAGGATCAGAAAATGGTGGGTCTTAATACTTGACTTTAGCCAGACTCAGCAAGCAACTGAGCTACGAAGCACAACTTCGCCTTTATTCTGGGTTTTTGGCAGGCCACCAGGAGGCTGTCCCTTTCACGCCTGATAAATTCTGCTGCTTATCTCGAAAGAGAGAGAAAAAAGGAAAATAATAACAGAATATTGAGGCATAGCAAGTGAATCCTAAAATTGTATGTGCTCCCCATCCTCTTCTGAGAGCTGATTTTTAAAATTTTTTATGTTAATGCCTTTTTTGGTTACTGAAGAATCCAAGTAGTTGGGTTATTTATTTATGTATGTATTTGGTTTATAATGAACAGGCGTTTGAACTGGTCGAACAGGACGACAGAGCAGTGAACATGAGATCATTTCAGCCGAGTAGCAAACTGGCACCCAGCCTTTTCACCCCTTCGGTTCGGGAGGCAAACGTGTGCAGTCCTCATTTCTCAAGTCAGCTCAGCCTGGAAGGATTCCGGGTCTCTCCCACCTTGTACCACTCTGCTGCCCGTTGATGGCAAGGATTGGTTCAACTTCTGCACAGTGCTTTGTGTCTGGAATACGGAGAACGAAGAGAATGACGACCAGCCCTCCTTTGCTGAGAAATAGCAGGAGCCTTGAAGAAACAGCAAAAAGCCAAACAACACTAAACACAGAGCTTCTCAGTACTTGCAAGAGTGCTGAAAAATAATGATAATGATGAGATGCGGCTGCTCGAAAACAAAAAACAAACAAAAACTCAAACCAAAACAAACCAAAAGCAGCAAACTTTGGCTTGTCTAACTCCTGAGACATCGGGCTTTGTAGAGCAGCTCTGAAGGCAACACCACCAAATGAGCCTTCTTTGTTTTTATTTCTTTGCTTTTTTATTACTATTTCAATAACTATGGCCTAAGAGCAGTTGGTGAACCCGCACTTTCATATCAGGTATAAGTTTCGTTGTTTCCTTTTATGCTTTCTGTTGCAGAAATCCGGGTCCTTGCCCTCTCCATCTACTCTTATTAACTCACCACTCACTTTACAATTTTTCCTTTCGCTTTCTTACTCTAGTCATTAGCATAGTAACTAAACTGAAAAATAGAAAACTCTAGAAATTATGCTCCTGCTCTTGTGCACAGAAGTTTTGGTGAGACAGCAGTGTGTTATCTGTGATTTTTGTGTCCAGTTTTACTTTTTGCAAAGTAAAGGGCTTAGAATTCAGCAGCTTGGAAAGTGAAATCTTTTCTGTGACTCATAATGTGAAATGCAAAAGAAGAAACTTCTCTAAGTTCTGAAAAGAGATCTTGCTTGAAAAATGCACCCAAATAATACTAAACAAAATTAGTTTATGGGGAGTTACTTATAAGGGTTGCAGTAGAAGAGAAATGGGTATAGTGAGATCGTATTCGCAGTTGCTAAGTACAAAATAGTTTGTTCCTTAATAACTCTATTTCTAAAAATACATGAAAAAGAATTTGCCCTAGAGCAGTTGCAAAGTGTTGGAAGCTGCTCTTCACTGTTTCGGTAGAGAAAGTCTGTACAAACTTGTTTCAAGTTCAGAGTAACTTTGGCTCGGCAGGTGAACACATTTCATTATAATTATTTTGTCTATTTGTAGAAGGAAATTACTAAGCAAATTAAAGATATTGTGACAAAATGTAGATTTTACTGGCTTAGTGGCAAAGGAGTAAATGATATATTCTAGTATACTTTTATTAATTTTTTATTAAAAATGTTCCTAAAAATGTAGGGAAATATTCTGAAAAGAGAAAATGCTTTGGAATATGTAGTGTATATCAAAGTTATAAGTTTCATAGTAAGAACTGGTATGGTGGTATAATACATGAGAAATAAAGTTTAAGAAAATTGCTATGCTTTTAAAATTGTGTTTTATGATATGAGAAACAGGATAAACAAAGAGAAATATTATGTAGCTGCTTAAATCTGTCTTCTATTTGGTTATTTGGCAAAGAATTTTGAGATGCTACACAGACTTTATATATAGATAACATTTGCAAGAAATGTTTTATTGACTTTATTGGCTATTGTTCACTAATTATTTAAAAACACCTCTTGTCCCTCAATTGTGTTAGTGGAAAGCCAACTTTCAAAGGCTTAATTAATATTGATAAACCTGTTTTCATGTTTCAAGATCCTTTACTTTAAAAAAACATTATTTTGAATGTCATTTTAGGAGCCATTAATCTCCACACTCCTAATTATCTTATTAAGCTCCATGCCAAATCCAAACCCTTTTCAGCTCTCTCTACTTCATTGTGCAGAACTTAGTCTGCTTCCTTAAGAAACATCTCCTTTCACTTTCAAAACTGTTACTGTGAAAGCAACGCCAACCAGAATGAACACATAAATGCAAACTGAGAATGTATTTCTGTGTCATATGAGTATCCTGGGGTGGGGCCCTCAGACTCTGCCAAGCCTTAAGAAAAATACTTTTTAAGGGTTTCCCCCATTTTGACATAGTGCTTTCTTCTCGAACATCTACTTTCATTCTCTCAATCCCTACAGATGTCCCTCGAAGGTGGCAGTTGTCTGAAATTTTCCTTTTGTGGTTCTTTTAGGGGAACATTTAAAGTGGATATGACAAGAGAAGAAAATGACCATAGGAGAAAATCATCTCAGGTAAAAAAGAGAAGCACTAGTGTAAAGTGTAATTAATGTACAATATTTTCGAGAGAAAATTACTCTGAGCTAGCTATTGGCATTTTTCATTGATGGGGTTTCTTTCAAGAGTTTTCAGCATGAATTGCCTTTGTGAACCTTTTTGTTTGGTTTGTGATCAATGCCCAGTTACCATCATGCTGAGTGCATATGTGTTTACTGAATCGTACAACACAGGTACAAGATGGTTGGATAGGACGCTATTTAACAAGAAGAAAAATAGTTTGTCAGTGGTTATACCATATAAAAGGAAGTACAATCTGGGAGAAAAGTATAAACTCATGGTTTTCTTTTCAATCATTTTCATATATCTAGTAAGACAATAAAGCCAAAGCAATAAAAGCTACAACCAGTGTTTCCTCTTTTTTTATGAAGTATATAATATATGATGAAATACTTTCACTACAATTGAATGCGTGATTTTTTATTATTTACTATAGTTTTAATATTAGGAGAATGATTTGAAAATAAATGATGGTGAAAATTTGTGTAGGCTAAATTATCGGTATTAAACTCTATAAAATAAATTTTATTTTTATTTATTGCAAAAAATGCCAAATCATGAAGTAATTACTATGCAGTATTATTTTTCACAATGAAAATATAATTAAGAAAAGCTAAGTCATTTTTATATGACTGAAATGATTAACAATTGTGCAACTTATAATTTTGCAGCAGCTGAGCTTAGAATCCTAAAAAGTGCATGTAACTCATTTAACATGTGCTCACTGGCCTCCTCCATTACAGTCTGATAGTTCACAAAATTAACAATAATTTATTTCATTTCAACCTGTTGAACACAGGGGAATTTCAGCAAATGTATGTTTTGTTTAAAGGATATAATTTTGGGGGAAAACAAATTTAAATACATTGTGTTGAAAGAGACTATTTGCTCTTTGATGCGGTACGCATGAATACAAACAGTACAGGACAGCAATAATGACACACTTACCATGTCATTGACTTTAGTTTTCAGGTCCCAGTTTTTTCTATACTTTGAAGTCTAGTTTCATCCCAACTATAGACAAATGTCTATATATTTAGGATTTGTGATTTTTGTGTTCTTTAACTAGTCAACCAAATCTCATTTGTTTTACAAAAAGTGAAATGTTACTATACATCCTTAAGATAATAACTAAGATTTTATGTGAATGAATACAAACACTCTAATGCATACACAATTTATTTAATAATTAATTTCTTTTTTATTGTATACTCATAGTACTACATCCATGTCTCATAGTAGCATAATTTATATATGCATATATTAATTCTTAGTTAGAACAGTTTAAGAACGTTAAAATATTAACAATTAAAACAAAAGCAATCCATAAAAAATGGAGAAAAAGAACTTGAAAAACTACTTTCTAATCCTCATGTTTATAAACCTGTGTTTAGGTCAGTACATTTATGAAGGTCTTTACCTGGGAATATGCATCCTGAAAGTATAGCGTTTAGAATATTTACACTAAAATATTAATATTATTTTCATCTTCTTCTAATTGCATTAGATGTTTAGAACAAAATGCTCCATTAGCAGAGAGTCCATGTGAGATGATGCCCATTGGCATAAACCCGTAGATCCGATCTTGTGGTGAAGTGGACCGCACAAGCTCGTTTCTATGGGTCTGTGGCAGTGTGGTAATCTGACCAAATACTGTATAGAGTTCTGCTCAATTCCATCTCAGTACATCCCTGATAACATGCCAGTTTTTTACCTAGTCTTGAAACAATCATATTTACTTTGTTCTTCCTGTTATATATTAATCCTTGTGTGTCTTACAAGGCAAGCTTTAATTGTTGGCTTTCTGGAATTATTTGTAGCACAGCCATTCAAGGCTGAATTCAAGTGCAATAAACTGCTTTCAAAAGGTTGGTGTTTTTTTAATAGCTGGCTTTGAGCAAGACCTGAATAGCTGTTGTTGAGGAACTGTAGCACATTCTCTGTTAGTTAATGCGCCTTGTCCATTTCAAAAGCAGAATAAAATATAGCTAGATTTTTATGTCGCTATTGAGCCTGTTTCTCTTCAAAATGGAGGCCTAATGCTACTGACTTTTAAGTTTACTCACTGCTAGTGGAAGTGTGGCAAACAAGATGTCAAAGTGTGGTTTATGTAACCTACAGCATAAACACAAGAGATTAGTGTAGTCCTGTAAGATACGATTGAAGTTGACTGCTAAACGGCTAGAATATTCTATCTACAACCTTGCCAAGCCCTTAGGTATTTGGCCGCCATATTTGGAGGAGCTGACTGAAGATATGATAAGGAGTTTTGAAGCAACATTGGAAGCTGTGTGCATCCGGGTTGAGGTAGTAGGTTGTATGGTTTAGAGTTACACCCTGGGAGTTAACTGTACAACCTTCTAGCTTTCCTTGGAGCACACTTGAGCCATCGAGGAATTCTTCATCTCTTTAATCTGACTAAGTCAATATCTGTGCAAGAAAGTAATGTGTCATGAGTATGTGAGGCCTCTATGCATTGATATTATCATTTCAGACCTGCTTATGAAGGTATTCTGTTTGTGTCTATTTATTAACAATGACACAATACTATTTCTAATGAGTTGTTATTTTGTGTTTACCATTCCAAAGAACTGATGGATAGTGGATTAAGTAACATTAATATTGAAACTTGGAATTTTTCATCAATGGGTTCACAAAATTTGATATTTAATTTTGAAATTAATCATTGGTCTGTTTTTATTCCATGCTTAGTGACTACAGAAAGAATATGTCTGATTATGTTAATAAATTTCATAATGTGTTATCTGAGTTTTCTCATGACACGTAACTTTCTAACTTATGTTGTAGCTATCAATATGTTTATTTATATTTTCCATACTAGACTGTAAGCCCCTTGAGGGCAAAGTCCATGCTTTATTTTTCATTGTATTCTTTTAATGCTTACACATCTTAAACAGTAAATATTTGAAGGATGAATAAATGGGCTATACGATTTCAGCCTCTAAGGAGTTTCTAAATTTGAGTATCGTTTATCAGTCCAATTAAACTTTTATAACTTATTCCAGATTCTTTTAAGTCAGTAATATCTCGATTGGTTTATGGTTTTGATTTACTCTAAACATACAATTTAAAAATTTGGGAAAAGCTTTTCTCTGGAATAAATAATAGAATGAATTTATTCTTACTAATTACTTCATCTCAGTTTATATATAATCTTACCTTTAAATAATGCATATTTATGTTAACCATTTAAATATCCTTTTTCCAGATCAACTGTTTTTCTTTATAATATCAATTCCAACTATAGTTCATGCCAAAAGTCTCATTTAATGATGTAAAAAATCATAGTTTTGTATTTTATAAATTTTTCTTATCTTCTATACTGTCATTTATTTTTCATACAACTGGGTCTTATCTGTTAGGAACCTTACAAGTCTGTCATAAAACTTATAATAGACAAAGATACAAAATGAAATTTTAAGATTTGGAAATATCTTTATTTAAGGGAAAGTAATTTTCTATATCATGTTATAAAAACAAATGACACTTTTTAGAATATTTTTGTTTGCTGTTCACTTTAAAGGTTCCTAGTGTTGCAGTGTTACTTCGTTTTACATATATCATCTTTCAACACTAAATTTAAGTAACATTTGGCATTAAAACTTTAATTTTCAACTAAAATTATGTCAGCAAATAATGGAATAAATCATAGAAATTGTAAATTGGCTATGGGACCATTAATTTTTTAGAATAGAATATTTAGGCATCCAAATATTTTATTTCTTTAAAATTGCCAATAACGACAATAAGCAATGAACTTCCCATATACAGAATATATGAGCCTTAGAAATTGAACACCAATAATTTTCAACCATTAGTTTTTGAGATGTGGTTTGCCTAAGAGCCAAGGCTGCTCTGGGCCTTGCTATGTTGCCCAGTATAAATTTGAACTGATAGTTCTCCTGCTTCTGCTTTCTAAATGATGTAATTGTGGGTATAATAAACCTGACCAAAATGATTATTGTATATAAATAATATTAATAGTGTCTGTGAAAAAAATTATTTTCAAGATCTGCAGCCCCAAAAGCAAGACTTCAAGAAATAAAGGGGAAATGGACTATTAGAAAATAGAAGTAGTATCATGCCATGTGGTGCTGGTTGAGCACAAAAATGGGAGAAATGGACCAGAAAGTAGTTAACTAGTATATGTCTGTCGTGGTTTAGCCCTTAAGAACCTAGCATCTATATCATTTGTGTTTGTATATATTTATTTACCCCAGTATTGATTGTATAGATTTGGAGACTGCCTGATGTGTACATTGAAAGGATCAGATACATACTACTGCAAAGGAAGTACTGTTTTCCATTTAGCAAAGAAGATTTAAGTGTAGTACAGAGGCCAACCATAACATATAACTTATTAGTATGCTATAAACTGCTACAAGAGGGGACAGGAAAGATGGCTCAGTCATTGTGATTCTTGCTGATCTTACAGAGGACCTGGGTTTAGTTTCCAGCACCCACTTGGGTAGGTCACAACACCTGTAACACTAGCTATAAGAGACCTAATACTCTCTTCAGGCCTCCCTGAGCCTCTGAATACATTCTCTCTCTCTCTCTCTCTCTCTCTCTCTCTCTCTCTCTCTCTCTCTCTCTCTCTCTCTCTCTCTCTCTCTCTCTGTCTCTCTCTCTCACACACACACACAGGTAAAGTAGTATATCAGATTAGAGAATTGTGATCTTGTGCATGTACTTTCTATAGGAAGATGAAGTTGTAACTCATTATATTGGTTACACAAAATTTACAAAACTTCTGCAGAGCAAGGGGCATGGCACCAGTGAAGAAGAGTTTTAAAATTCTGTAGATTGAGAAAAATCACTTCTGATAATTATGTTTGCCTTTGACTGTCATAAATTTTGTCAAGACAACCATAAGTCTGCTACAATTACTGTATATTTTTGGATCAAAGTAAATAGCAAATATAGATATAAAAGTTAACAAGATTAATTTGAAAGATATCAAGGTCTAAGACCATTGATTTTGTGAGTTAGGAACAGGTAAACTAGATACTCAATTGGAAGGAAAACATACTACATGTTGAAGATTGACATTCAGTCACACAGGATCAGTGATCCAAATTGAATGATTTCCTGAGGTTTCAGGTTTTCGTCTACACTAAGGGCTGTACATTATGTATCAGATAAAATGCTGGTTACAACACAAACATTATATTATTAATGAATCATTCTTTACATATATATGTATATACATATTGTGGTGGTGTGATATAGTTTTATATCCATAGTGATTGATTAAGCTTCTTTTGCAAATATACTTCAACAATATTTAAAATGCCCTTTGCCTTCTCTTGTCACGTCTGATTAACTTTCAATTCTTTGTAGCATATGGCATTAAAGTGAGAAGGAAACTGTGGAAAGAAAAGTAT